AACTATGAAAATAAATATATCAAATAAAATAATGATAAACATGATAATAAATAAAATAAAGAAAATAAATATCACAACGATAACCATGATAGCAATGAAATTAGTGAAAATGATGATCACGATTTTTCTGGTGATCATTGGTGATATTAGTTGACGCAGTCATCTAGTGACGCAAACGGATTATCACTAATAGCGTCTGTTGCTAGGGTAGTAACGTCAACCAAGTTCATTGAAATGGAGCCGTACTGGATACAAACCGATTCAACAGCAGTCATCGCGGTAATCTATTGCTTTATTAAACCGCTTATATTATTTAATGTTAAGTTATATGCTCTTTAATTAAATGTACTCTTCTAATTTAGCATCGTTTCTACTTCTCCAACATTATCAGCCATTTCTAGCGAAGAGTAAGGGTATTTTAAGAAAATGTTAAATATATGCGAGATTTTTTCCGTGTAAAAATTTAATAATTTTAATAATTTTTTTTTTTTAAAAAAAAAACAGGCCAGTGAATAATTCATCGAGTACCGTTCATCCGTTTTTGAGAACATCAGTCAAGGTAAACTTAATCTCAAGGAATGTAATAAATTTAAAAATGTTTATGTTAACATATTCCACTTTATATATTAGACTGCCCCTATAACATTAATTACGGCAAAGGATGTTGTCACACATGAAAAGTATAGATTAGTTTCAGCTTTATTTAGTGGAGTTGAAATAAATGAAGGAATGAATTCTTCAATTTATGGACATTTCGTGGATGTTAGTAGAAGCGATAATCTCCCTAAACATCATTCTCAGAAAAGTATGGTATGTACGACCATTTTAAGATAATTAATAAAATAATAATAACATTATTGTTTTTCTAGTTAAGGAGCTTCACAACATCATGCAAAGATTGAATATACATTCTTAGAAACATATAGTAATAATAGGGGATCTCTGCTGATGAATAGTAAGTATATTATTTCTTAGCAGTGTATTTATTTATATATATATTAGTTGTTAACCTGTTGTTCTGCAACGGGGTATATTGTTAATAAATCAGGTTTTAGATCATGTGATTTAAAAATATCTTGTGATTTTAATAGTAAAATAGATGATTTGCAATTTATTGAAAAATTTCATAATATATGACATTTGAGGTATGATAATTTGGGTCATTACCCATAAGAACTTTGATGTTATGGTATGAAGTACTTCTCCTTCTCTAATTTGTAGCCTGTAGGAGTAAAACTGCATTGTTATTACTCTTTCTCTTTTTATAAGTCCAGTTAAAGGTATGTCTGTATGCTAACCATCATTACCTTTTGGGAATAACAGCACATAATGAAGCAGGTCATATGATAGATGTAGCTCTGAGATTCTTTTTAAACTTCCATCATGTAGCCTGAGAAGAATATCTCAATTTGATAGATTGATATTGTAACCGTTACTGATCATAATTGCCGCTATATCAGAGATTGTGAGAGTATTATAATAATAGGGATCTTTTGTTTGATCGGTATATATTAGCATCAAAATATCAGCGGTCACGTTCGATTGAATGATATCTCCCACCTGACGAAAACATTGGACATAGGAATTAAAATAAATAAAATAATAAAATTTTTATTATTCAGAGATAAAGATTAAAATATATTTTACATCAGGGAAGCATAAATTCTAAATTCACATGATGATTAGCTAATTACATCAGAACATGTAGGAGACTAACTATAAATGGAATGGTTATTTATACAGTCAATTTAAAGGTCAGCGATATACAGGAGACTGACTATAAACGGAATAGTTATTTATACAGTCAATCTAAAGGTCAGCGATATGCAGGTATTTTTTTATAATATAAGATATATTTTTAAAATTCTTTTTTTTAGAAAATATACTATAACATTTAAGCCCTATCCAAATGATCATAAAATATTATAAAAGATTTTGAACAAATTTGTCTAATGAAAGATAGGAAAAAGTGGTATGAAAATTGATTATAAACAATATGGAAATTATAAAACAAAGATTGGAGAATAGGATAAATGAAAAGATTAATGTTAATACAAATAGAATTGGAAGTAGTAAGGAAAGTTAGAAAGTTATTTAAGTTATTGACAGAGAAGCTATTGCGGCATTTCAGTATAATCATCCTAGTCAGATCAGTAGTTTCATATTATCTCTGAGTGGAAATATAGTATTATTACATTTAAAATCCAACTTTTGCATTGTGTATTTACCATTAGAAGTAATATTGGAGGAATTATAGATGATGTTATGGAGGAGATAAAATCATATTTTATGTAACAAGAATAATTTAATAGTCAAATATTGTTAAAAATTGGCATACACAACTAGTCAATTGTCTTGAATGATCAATTTACTAAATAAATTTTATTCAAATGTAAAATAAACCTTAACTACATACAACTTTTATACCAATATAAAATAAACCTTAACTACATACAATCTCTATCCATAAATTCAAACAATAGAAAAATTTTATACATTGTATTGTTAGTAACATGATATTTTAAAATTTTAATAATAAACATTATCTATTCTCTTAAGTATGTAAAATTAAATATAAACAAATTTGAAACCATTTTATGCATTATTAACAACTTAGGCAATGTCAATCACTTTAACTCCAGCTTTCAATTTTTCATGTAGTGGTGCAGTGTAATTGCTTTTTCACATAATCTAAGCAACTGCAATCTACTGTTAATTTAATATTTATTTGGCAATGAATATTTGTTATTATATTCTGATGCAATTAAATAACAGCTCCCTTTCAATAAGAGAGGCCTTTTGCAAATAATTATGCAAATCATCTGCATACTTTCTTATATATATTTTTTAGTGTTATCGGTAAATGGATAAGGTATATGTATGTTTATACATCTTTTTAATCAAAGGTACATTTTATTTTTAAAAAAGAATTTTTTGAGATTTTGTGAAGTTTTTTTTTTATTCTTTTATATATTGGTCCTATATATATTTAATGTCTGTGTGATAATTGACTTTCAGTTAGTAAATCTGTAATTTTAACTATGCTTTTCTATTTGATATTGATCAGATAGATAATGCATCTAATATTATTATTAGGGTTTTTTCATTATTCCTTCTACTTCTATGTCAATTAGTTAAAATTTAATATTAGAAAGATTAATTTTATGAGAAAGAATGTAAAAAATCATAGATCTATATAGGAGATATATCAAGCTTAAAAAAATTAACTTTTTAAATAAATGTTTTAAATAAGAATTAGTTTAGCATTATAGACAAAAGAAAATGGTATAATAAATTTTTAATTATAAAATTCACATAGTTTATAATTTTAAAAATTCATTTTCACTTTTTTTTAAAAAAAAATTTAGTTATGAGTTGATAATTAAAAAAAATCAAGGATTTAGATAAATAATTCGTAGAAATAAATATAAAAAATAAACTCTTATCAGCTGTTTTATTCTTATAAAAAAAGTGAATTATCATACTTTGTAAGTTCTATTGTGAAGTAGAACTATAATTGATAATTACAAAAAGTATAAATTTATTAAACAAATAATTGAATATTTAAAATTTCAAGTTATAGTATTATCAAATAATAATAAGTTGCAAATAATTTATTAGTTTTTCTTTCATTATAACAAATTATTAATAAATTTGTTTATTATTTATTTCTTTTTAGTAAAATGCTATTAATATAAAATAGCATACCTTTATTTAATACTGTTAAATTATATTATAATTCAATTACTAGAGCTATTTAAACAAATAAATTTACTAGGTTAATAGGAACTATTATATGTCTATAGCTAATATTTCAAGTATTTTATTTAATAATTAAAAAAATGTAAAAAAAATTATTTGTTATTATTTAAAAAAGATCTTGTACAGCACTTATGTGACAATTATTATCATATATCAGACAGATGGATATGTTAATCTAAAAGGTCTAGTAGAAACGAACATGTGATAGAGATCATCATATGCCAGACAGATAGACATATTGATCATTTTGATGAACTGAAAAGTCTTTGCTATGCTCTGAATAATAATATTTAAACTTAATCTTTTTAAATTTACTTATATATACTATTTAATTTTTTGATTTTAATTAAAATTTAATTAAAATAATAAAAAAAAGAAATGAATCAATAAAAAAAATAACTTTCCTAAAAAAAAGATTCATTAAATAATTAAAGTAATAAGATTAATTTTTGAATTTATAATATTAATATATCTTTACAAAATATGGTGATATCATAATATATATATTTTTACATTTGTATTATATATATTTGTTAGATTTGACTTAAATTTTTAAATTGTACTATTATATTATTTTTATCTAAATTATAGAATAACAAATGTAATTAGAACTCTAAATGCTAAAATTTGCTTTAATATATTTACATTAATTATTTACTAGATGATCGTGTAAAAGTCAAGTTAAAATTTAGAAAATACCTTTTTAATTTATGATAAGAGTTAGAGGTCTTGAAGAAGATTATTAAAATTATCAATTGAACAGGTGAATAGTATTATTAAAAATAATTGGTTTATTCAATTGATTTATTACAATTATCCTTAAAGATGATATATTCATTTTTATGTAGATTTCAAATTTCTATTAGATTATCAAAATATTTATATCGATATATATTACATAAAATTAACTAATATAATATATTATATTTAAGAAAATCTGAGAAATTTCTATATGAGAAATTTTAGTTAATAGATTTTTAAGAAAAAAATTATTTAAGGTGATGGTAATAGATACTGATATTATTATTAAACCAGATAAGCAAATACTACAAGTCAGAAATAATATTCAGATTTTAAAGATACTATTTATTGAAAATAAAAAAATGAAAGAAAGAATCTCTCGAAAAAATATATATTTTGAATTTTTATCCAAAGAATTTGTATCAAAGCTTGACATTAAAGATACTTTAACATTGGTATTATGAAGATATTATTTCTTTTTTTCTTTTGGATTTATGATTAAGAAAAATAAAAAATTTGCTTATGAGGATTAAATAAAACTTTTAATAACATTATTTTTTGATTTGTGATTAAAGAATATAAATATTTTATTTTAAGTATTATTTTGAATCTTTTAATGAAAAACATAATTTGTGATTAAAGAAAATATAAAAACTTTGTTTTGAATGTCATTTGAATCTTTTATAAAGATATTTTTTTACTTTATTTGATTAAAAAAAGAAAAAAAAAAAAAAAAAAAAAAATAGGAAAGGAAAAAGGAAGCATTAAATATATTAATATTTCAGCCTCAAAGTAAATTAATTTTTCTGATTTTAGGCTTTTTGTTTTTATGACGCAATGGCGCATGATGAATTTCAGGTTTTGCTTTCAATTATTACGATGATCATCATAACTTGTTTGTGCGGCGGTGTTTATTTTTTTTTGTTACGGTTATAACCGATGTAAAACTGGAAACAAACAAAACAATATCATATGAATTGTTGTAATCAATAAAAATAGTAAATTTTTGTTTTAACTATAGATTCATATTTTAAATTTTTTTCCAATCAGGGACACCTCGTGTAACCTTAAACCTGTACATATATAGTCCTACACTTCGTTCCGGACTAATTAAATGTTTTATAATTTAATATTCTTGGAGATTTGACTTGGTAAAAAACAAATAATAAAGTTTTAATTTCCAAGAAAATTCAGTTAAAATAATGATAATTAATAATATTATAACTGGTACGGATAATTATGAGTTTCTATCTCAATTGGTTATCTCTCGTCAAGCTTTTCGCAATAATGCAAGCATTTCATAAATGGACGACAAAGTAATTACACTGAGGTTACAAGTCTTTGAAAGAAGGGGAATCGATTCGAATCATAAACGATTTCTAATTTTGCAGGTTTATTTTATGTTTTTCATCATGAGGTAATGATTACATATCAAAATTAATGTTTAGGAGAAGTTGAACTAATATCGCAGA